AAGAAAACAAAAATCTGGGCCAATTGGCAGTATCGTGATACATGGAGAAGAGATTGATGTCCCTCATGACAGATGAAGAAGAAAAGACTTAAACTGTCAACAGTTTCCTTTCTTTAGCTCCACAATCAGCACTCAGGGTACCAGCACTCAAAAAATCAAAAGTCAAAAGTGTTAGGGGAATTTGTTACCATGGACATGTCCAGAGTTCTAAAAAGCAAGGATGCCAGTTAAACTAAGGTGTGCCTAATACAATTCATTGTATTTTCAGCTGCTTCCTATGCATATCAAAGTTAGACAGTGAATAAAGGTGACCCAAGAAGAATTGATGCCTTTGAACTGTGGCGTTGGCTAAGAGTACTGAATATACAACAGGCTGCCAAAAGAACTAACAGATCTGTCTTGAGGGAAATACAGAGTGCTCCTTAGAGGCAAGGATGGTGAAACTTCACCTCACTTGGTTTAGGCCTATTTTCTGGAGGAACCAGTCTTAGAAAGAGACATCATGGTGAGAAAGGTAGACAGGAAGTGAAAGAGAGGAAGAACTGAACAAGAATTGACACAGTGACTACCACAGCGGGCTTGAGCGGGACAGAGGTCATGAGGATGGCACAACCTAGGACAAGGCTCAGATCTGTTGTTCATAGGGTCACTGTGACTAGTAGTCAGTTAAAAAGTACCTAACAACAATCAAGCATTACATTAGCTTTTTGACTAGAGTCCAAGGAAGGCGAGGTGGTCTAGTGCTAAAAAGCTGCACTGTCAACCCAAAAAAGCATGTGGTTCGAATCCACCAGCTGCTCCACGGGAGAAAGATAGGGAATCTCCTCCATGCAATTGACTGCATCTGAAAGCCTGCTGGAGGGTCACTTAAGGGTCAGCTCTGACTCAATGGTACATAACAACTAGAGTCCAAGAACATCTCCAGGGTGCTAACATGTTTAAAGAAATCCAAATTGTTACAATAATATGGACAAGTACTTACTTTCCAGTATTGACTATTCTCTGGTAACAGACCATGTACAGAAGGTTTTTTGTTATTAGCAGTCCAGCATTTTGTCTTTCACAACCCATTCACTCACTCTAACCCACTGTCCACTCTATCCTAACATTTTAGAATTCCAGTCTGAGGCCATGATCCGATTCAGTACATGACTTTGGACAAACTACTCTTCAGAGGGGCTTCAGTTCTGTCCCCTGTACATGATATAATTGCTCAGGTCTTAGCTCTCACATCCTGGGATACTGGCCTATTTACAGTTCTGTGTGCCTGTGCCTTCTCTAATTTGCTAACGACCTACTCTTCACCTACTTCTCGTCCATACCAATTCTACTAAACAACTTCTTCATCACTGAACTAAAATGCAAACACATAACCTCTTACATAGCTCAAAAACCCAGACAAAGAGAAACATTTAAAAACATAGCTTAGCTCTTAAATCAGGGCTTTGTCAAGAATTGTAACCAGAATAATGAAATAGTAACTTTAAAATTCTCCTAGTTCAAAACCAGACTTGGCCATTAAAATGCTTTCTTAGTGTCTCAGAGCCTTCTGGTCCTCTTTTCTAAGAGGAGGTCATCACTGTTCCCTTCACCAAGTATGTCAGGGAAGTGCTTGGCACAAGTCTAATTTCCACAGATTATAGCATCTCATTCCGTCTAAATTCAGGCATGGAGACAAACTCTGATAATTTCTTGTTCTTTTTCACATATAAAAGTATGTGAGCTCATAATTTGGAGGTTTTAAAATTCAGTCACCTAGTTAAATCTAGCACAGGCTTGCCAGATGTTGATTTGATAATCGTTAAGAAACAGAATGATATAACAAACAACAAGACTTTTCGTTATTTTGAGGGATTCAGGCAGGTTCAGTATTTATTTCCCATTTCCCAAATACAAATTTTTTAATGACTAGAACTAATTCATTGGAAATGAGTCTTTCTTAAATATATTGTGTTACTTTATAAATATTTTCTACTTTATAATGGAAAAGACACTTCCCTAGCAAAGACTTGGAAATTCTTTTTAGAGTCAACAAAAGAGCACTGGAAAGACCCTAAATTCTTTGAAATTTGATTTTCTATTATTACCAAATTATGAGTGTTTTTCTATTTCTTTTGAGTATTCCTAGTTTCAAATAGATTTCAAAAGAGGTATTGATTCCTTAAAGTTTGGTTATCATAGTATAAAGAACAAAAATGAAATAAATTTGTTTTTAATTTTTGAATGGAATAACTGAATTCTTATTTTGTTACTGTCAATGTCAAATTATTGCATCCTTATTTTGAGAAAATAAAGGCCTGCACAAATGTGCAAAAAACCCAACTTGAACACAAGGTGGAACCATATAGTATGAAAGGCTGGTTAGTTGGTTTTCATTTCTTTAACTATAGAACAGGCTTGTGGAAGTGTGGGAAGTATTGCAAAGCATTCAGAAGATTAAAACTGACATATTGCCTTGAACTTTACATGATGTTTTCTGGAAATGCCAGGGATTAGTATTATATGTCACAAGTGAATATTCTTGGGGTGCTGAAAATGAAAGTGATGTGCCCTTGGACAAATTGGCAGAGGATCCTTGCCATTTCTAGGACCTAGCAAAATAGAAAAAGAAACACTTAGGTCTTGTTCCAAGAAAGATGGATTCTGATGCTGCGTTTCATGGTCATAAGTTTTTCAAGAGATGACCACATGGTAAGGTTGAATGTGTGATTCAAAGACATTATAACAAGAGTGAGTACAAAGACTGGGGACACTTGAGACTGGGTCCTTGGAAACTAAGGGTGTCTCCTTTTCAATCTCTAACATAGAGGTCAAAGTCTCTAGTTATTGTTACTCCAAAGTCTGCAGTATGTTAATAGGCTTACTGGCCCAGGGTTCTGGATTAAGGATATTCATGACCCTGGGAGAAAAAGGCTGTGTACAATTAAAGGTATGTACAATTAACAGTGACCCTCTACCATCAAGATAGTTGGCATCTTCTTGAGGTGCAACCCTCTTAAAGCCTCAGCTTTGTCAGGTTTAAATTTGTTAGTTAACTACAATCCCAGAGGCACATGGTTCGAATCCACCAGATGCTCTGCTGGGAAAAGGAGGGACAATCTCCTCCTGTACCAGTCAGATCTGATTTGACGGTACACTCACACAAAAATTAAAAAAATAAAAAAATTAAAAAAATTTATTAGTTAAAAATTTTTTGACACTGCCTTTTTTTTTTTGCTTGGATAAGCATTACATTGATATTAACGATAAATTATTTCTTTATGAATCATGATGCTAGGTAGACTTTTTATTATCTTCCTCCTTAAAGTTCTTGCTTTATAACTAAGAGGTAGCAAGGAAGGAATACTTCAAAGTTATTTATGAATGGTTTTGCACTTAAGAATTTCTAGTAACTGTTTATGTTATTTTTAAATTCAAGTTGAAAGTTAGTACTCACAAAGTTCAGATAAATGAGCCAATATCTTTAAGTGCTAGGAAGATGATGTAGCTTCCTTGTATCCCTGTGGCTTCAATAAACCGTGTAACTCTAGGACCACATGTCCTTGCCAAATGCAATGCATTTGGAAATTGAACCTATGAAAACATATAAATAGTTTTCAGGTCAAGATAAAATGAAATGAAACAGATATAACTAACCAGTCCTTGCTTTTGTATGTATAAAACAACGTAACCACATGAACAGGAATTGCACTTAAGAGAACTAGAGTAATAAATCTACAATTCCCAAATCACACTTTTGTGTTAACTGTTAAGACTTTTATAATAAAGTGAAAATAAAAAATCTAGAATTAATCATTGTAACATAAACTGTTGTCTTTCAAAAAAATGTGAAAACACTTTAGGTAGCATTTCTACATATTAAAAGTAAGAAATAGCTTTCTACTACTCATAAGTATATTGAATTTAAATAACAAATTACAATTTACAAAATAGCACATATGCAGAAATATATTCATTATTGAATTATAAAATAAAATTAACAATTCTCGTTGAAATATCAGTTTATTATATTGCGTTTAGGATAATGGAGGTAAATAATTTTGGTATGCTTAATAAAATTTGTAAGTAATAAAATTATGGAACGTTGAGATTTGAGTACAATGACAGTAAACCATTGAAATTTCACATTCACATTATACAACCATCATTAATCCATACGTGAATGCTAATAAGGTAAAAAAAATATAAAATGATTGTAATATAACCATCTAACCATTAATATATGGAGTTTTAAAACCACTGCTTCATCTGCTAATTTTCTCTGAAATAAAGGCGGTTGCTTTTCTGTGATGCTTGATATGTCTTTGTGCCTAAATACTTAATTTGAAATGTCCTTACTGTAAAAATATACCAAAGTAAATAAAAAAGGAGACACTTATTTACAAAAAATATTGTATACATATTATATAAATGCAATTGTTTCAAAGTCTTTATACAATATTGATAGAATCAGTCATTTCTTTCTTACTATTTTGCCATAAAAACTGCAGTGTTACAAAGGCAGGCTGTAATTTGGAAATTTTGATAAAAATGAAAACTTTTTGGCAACCTTTTAACATAACGCAGTTTTTTCAAGTATGCTACAGAACTGAAAGCTGACTTCTAGGAAAAATGATTCTTCTTTCAATTAAAGAAAATCCATACCCCATTTGGAGGTGGGTGAAAGTGCACCTGAAGAGAGGAGAAACTTTTTACTGAATGTTTTTTATTTGATAAACCTGATAATATCAGTCATTCAGCCAACCTACTGTATTAGCACCATTGGCATAGATAGGAATGGAAGCCTGAACACAGTGTACCATTCCTATTTCTGTGGAATTCCATCTTACCAAGTATGCTATTATACAATAAAAATTCAAGTGTTTAAGGATGATTCAAATGATGTTACATAACAATCCTGCATTTTACCAATACTATATAGAGATTTTCTGTAAATGTTAAATGAAACTGTATAGAAATAGATTTTAAAGCGTGCTCCTTTAGTTCACAATAACAAAAGGAGAATTGCTTTCATTTACTTGCATATGTTGTAATATACATGAACATACATTTGCTTTCATTTTCCTCCTAGTTCCAAAACTCTAGAAATCATACAACTTTTTCTTGTATGATTTATTTTGATGGTTAAATGCCAACCATTGCCTATATTCTCCAAGTTCATGCACGGTAGCTTGTGCATAAGTGACTATAGCAAACGGTAGGCCTATAGCCTATGGTACATAATTTCACAGTTTCAAAATTACTGAGGGGACAGTCTTCCATATTTTGGGAAGTCATGAAGCTAATGTAAATCTCATGAGCATCCACATCGATCTACTACCATGGCTGGAATTTTCCCATATATTATTTGTTCTTTGCCGTTAAAATACAGCATATTAATTGGAGACATCTTGGTTGGAGTACAGCAAGGACCTGCTGAACCTCTGGGGTTTGCTTGGTGTACCAGATGTGTGTGAGGATATTTTTGTAAAAATACAAATTCACACTCTCCAGAGCAGTAGTTGGCCTTGTATCTTTTGGGTGCAATAATCCAATCCCATCCGAAAGCTTCGAAGTCCACAGTGAGAGGGTAACGACAGCAGCGTGATTCAGTTGAGTGCTCATCACAGTCAAGACCGAAATCTCGCCTAGATCTTTTTGGTGTGTCTGTTACCTTGACCTCTAAAAAAGGATTCTGTGTGAAAAGGAAAAAAAATAATCAGTAGTATTAATAGACTCTAAAATACTTTTATCAAGAGTCATTATCAAAGAAATTCTTTTGCTTAAGCCACATTTATTTTTAAAAGATGCAGCAATAAAGAAGTTTCATTTGCACCAAGCCTGATTCTCCCCATTTGTGTCTGGTTCAGAGAATGTAGTATGAATACGAAGTCCCCTGGGATCTGTTCTGTATCTTCTTAGTTTATGCTTTCCTCAGTTTGTGCATCAGGCTGCCTAGTACAGAGTAGGTTATCCAAAAATTTGTATAGGATAATAAAAGAGCAGGGAATAAAGTAGTTCCCTCTCTTCATATGTTAATTGGCTTAGATGTGTCCAGTCCTTCTGAAGGGATAAGTATGTTCTCCCACTCTTTCCTAGAAAAACTTAAATGTGAAAGCTAGACCAAAACAGCTACCTTCCAACGCTCTATGGATTGTAACAGGAAAAGAAAGGCATATGGTGATGAAGATGGTGGCGTGTGTTTTGGACTAGAAAGCAAGAGATGAAGAGACCAAGAAGACAATATTTTCTTTATTCTTTCACTGAAAGCTGTTTATACTCAGGAATTTAAAGGATAACTTGCTAACTCTGTCCCTATACCAATATTTTGGTATTATCAGATAACACCAAATATTTTGTGTTCTTATGTAGAAAATATCTGAAGAATACATCATACCAACCACTTGTTTTTAAAGAATCAAAATCTTTGTCATACTATCTAGCAATGATGATCATTAAAATGTTGATATACAAGAAAGACATTTCAAAAATACTCAGTAGTAGTTTTACCCGATGCCAATTGTCTTAATACATCTTTCTATTAATGTTGCAAAAAAAGCCCCATAATTTGGGCTTAATAAATTTTATATATTTTTAAATTGATAACTCAGAAATATACATAATCATTAAAACATAATTTTAAAATTATATAAGTTTCTGAGTCATCATATCTTAGAAGTACATATAACTTACTAATTTTGTACTCCTTAACTAACTGCATGTAAAGATTAAAATAATAAAATGTTTATTTTTTAACAATTATGTTCTAAATTATTAGAAACACGAAAAATATAGTCACATTAAGATTTTTTCTGAGGAGTAAACAGAAATCCAAATAAGACTGAAGAGTGAATCACTCTAAATTTAGTTTAGATTTTAGAATGTTTTAAAATCATTCATATAATATATAAGGTACTATCATCTGTTTAGGGAGCTCTAGTGGTCTAGTGGCAAGAAGCTGTGCTGTAATCCCAAAGGCATGTGGTTTGAAGCCACCAGGCGCTCCCAGGGAGAAGGGTGGGCAATCTCCTCCTGAACGATTAACAGCCTCCGCAAACCTGTTACAGGGTCAGGGTCAGCAATGGGTTGGATCAGACTCTACACATCACCCCCCCGCCAATCTCTTTGGACCATATAAAATGATCTCGCATTCTCTAAGTCTCCACATTATGAATAAGTTCAATTTTTAAACCTACCTTTTAGCCAAATTTTTTATGTAAGTTAGTTACAGTCTGTATCTAACATCAGTTAGTCAAATGTTTTTATTAGGATACAATATATAGTGTCTCTGTGTATAAAAAAGCTTTAAAGAAATATTTCCAGATATACTAAAACATCTTAAACATAATATAGCAGTATAATAATATTGGTCTGATGTATTAATTTTGTTTATAATAAGAGCAGACCATAGTTGTTATTAAGAAACAATTTATCCACCTTAAATGTTTTAATATAACTGGCTTTATGGGGGTTGGGAGTAACTATGGGCTGTATGTAAGTCGGATGTTTGTAACCAGGAGACTGCCTGTAAACAGTAGCACAAGAATGGTTGGAAAGGCAGCTCAGAAATAAGCTTAAGTGGCAAAGATTAGCCAGCCTGCAGATGAAAATGTTATTGGAAACAATCACCAAATAAACTGCACATATATTAATGCAACAGCAATCTGCAAGTAGTGAGTATATTTATCATAAAGAACTTTATATATAACATATATAATAACATATAAACCTAAACATACTATACTCAGTCAATTGCTATAGATAAAAGCATTTTATTTTAACTATTTTTCAAGTTATCTATTATGTGAAGTCAAAATAATTGCAACATATTGGCACCTTCTTTGTGCTAGGGACAACATCAGTTTTGTTTTATTTGGTATGTACTATATATAATCCATTATGACACGTTTACCTTTTTATTTATATGTAATATCATCTGTTCTATCAATGAAAAGTGCTTTATACTTCATTCTTAACTAAAAAAGAACATGTTAGGAAGTTAAGCAGTAAAGTATAATTTCTTTTTGCCCTCATGTAAAGTAAGAATATCAAGGGAGTGTGTCATAGAGTGTGAAATTGAATGCCTCATTTTATTGGGTACAAGGCAACCATCGGGGTAACATACCTTTATCTGGCTTATGAGCACAGGAAATTGGTATTTCTTTTTCTGATAAAATTTGTCTCCATTATGAATAAACAGGGAATAAAATGGTTAGACTATTGTCCTCAGTTATCACTTACCAGCCCGTCTTCTCCCGGTCCCGGGAAAGTTACAGCAAGATTATGACCATTCTCATCTAAAGCTTTGATTTCAATGCCTAAGTTGGATTCAGGTTGTTTGAGCCAATTTTGCAACACTGTCTTCACATCAATGCTCTGCCAAATACCAGTGCCTGGGTTCATGTCAAGTTTCAGAGATCGGATTCCAGTATACCTTGTACCGTCTTTCATGGGTTTGATGAGTCTCAGGATTTGTACAAACACGGTTGTAGGAGTCTTGACAGGTCTCAGATAGATCCACAGTTGAGCTTTGACTACCTTATTGTATTGTATTTTAGAGCTAAACTTAAAGAAGCAACACTTGGGTTTTCCTTCCACTTGCGTTAGGAAATCAGCTATAAATGAATAAGAAAAAAATGTTATTGAAAACATATTCCCCATAAAAAAGTAAACATATGCTTCAAATTAATTGGAGGGAATTCCCTCCATTTGAATAATGGGTGCATGTGTAGTCTTTTAAAATTCAGTACTATGTAGAACTTCATTCATAACTCAGAAAAAAAGAAGTTAACTCTAGCCTTTCAGAATGTCTCAGCTCTCTGCTTTTTCAGTTGTTCCTAAGGAATCTACTTCCTTGTCTGAGAACTGAACATCTAAGGAAAATTCTATGAGAGAATGAACAGTGGATGAGATTTAAAATGATGATTAGAGAGAACAAGAGACACTGTGGAGGAACATCCACTTAGAATTCTTTGGGAATCTGAGTAGTTACACTTACTGAGCAGCTGTAGCAATCAGTCTGGAAGAAGGAACCCTTCCCCCAGGCCTGAATTACCTGGGGACTAGACACACTGTGTAACTCAGTGAGTCTTGGGAATTAGTAGAAAATATAGCACATCTGTTATGTTTTGGCTCTGGAATAGTCTTCTAAAAGTGCAGAACTAAGTAGGTAATCAACACAAAAATGTAGCTGTTACATTTGACTTAATCTCAAAAGTTAGAAAGGAGTGTCTTCCAGATCAGGCTGTCATTGTAAGCAGAGACACTCGCAATATTTTTTTTTTCTTTTTGCTTTTCGAAATCTGTCTACAAATAAGGTAAACCTATTACAGGTCTATTTGATAGCAGGGCTTAGAAGGAAAGATATTGGCTGTATTATAATTTGTTTGCTGAAGAAAAAAACAGTATTTTGAGACTGATTTGAGCATTTAGTTTGAAATGTATAAAGCAAGTATACACAGGGCACAAAATGTTTCAGGACATGCCTGCTCTGTTAAGGTGCCAGCCTCCTTTTCCTTGAGCAAGTTTTGTTTTCAAGTGGTATAAAAATGAATAGTATGAAATATTTTGATTCAGAAGCAATATAAATACTGTAGGTATTAATTACTTCCATTAGGAGCAAAATAATCTTTTAGAAGGTTGCTAAGCAGTGTACCTTTCTGGAAATTTGCAGACTGTGTGCTCTGAACAATAGCACCAGGGGTCAAGATGCAAGAAAGACTTGATGAACCATAATTTAATAAAAATCTTTGATTCTTAGCTATGTTCTGATAATTAGTTCAGGATTATTAAATGCTTACTTCAACATTGCTCTTACACACTAATCTTTAAAAAGCACTTTTTTCAGACTCTTCAGTGTAGCAGCTTTGAAAACACACTATTTTAATTTATTAAAAACACACCATGAAAGGGTTTTGAATCACAGCAATGCCAAATAGGTTAAAACATCTAGCCAATATCTTCTTTGCTATTATTTTTAAAATTCTCTTATCAGAAATATGCATTTCATACTTCCAAGTGCAACTCTAAGATATTTTGTAGATTTTTACATTGAAAATAAGCAGTTGTCATTTAAAATTAAATAGCATTAGTGCTGTGCAAGCACTTTAATGTTTTGCTTTAGCTCTGGAAAGACATGAACTATTTAGCAGATTTCTATCTCCTTATTCTATTTCTTGTAAAGTGCTGGGGGGGAAAAAGAGAAAGAAACCTTTTCCTCCTATTACATACAAGCCAACAGCTTGTTAAAAGAGCCTGAAAATAGATCCGTTTCTCATAAACACTAGAACAACAGTCAGCAGAACTGCCGATATACATACTAGGAGTACTTACACTCTGTAGGCATGGTAATAATTGTTTCCGTTGTAGCGTGATAATCATCATCCTCCAAAGAACCATCGCTGCTGTCATCTCTCTGCACATCGTACTGATCAATCAGTTCCCGGAGTGGTGGAGCTTTGGGTAAAAGTTGTCTTATAGCATCTTTGCTGATGTTTGGAGCCGTTTCCAGGCGAAGTTTACTGAGGATTTGAATTTTTATGGCTTCTATTCTTGAAGATTTAGTGTTTTGTCTCCAAGTACATGCATTACACAGCCCCTCTTTCTCCACATTTTCTTTTTGCTCGCTGTTCTCATTTAGATCCACTGGACCAGCCACAATCAGCATAAAAAGGTAAATAGAAACATAGATTTGCAGTTTTTGCATGATTTTAAAATCAAGACAATCTTTTCCTTTGTTCTTATTACTTTTTTTTCCCTTTTCTTTTGCTTTTGAGTAAGGCCAAGCAAAATACTAATGCATGTACAGTCTGAGAGACACACTTACCACACCAGTGAATCTTTTATACTGTATTCCAAGTGGCTTTTTATATTCCAACTTTGATGAGACAAGTGTCGTAAGGACCTATGATTGGCTCTTGCTCCACAATGAATCTCGCTGTCAGAGGTTGAAACCCTGTCTGTCACAAGTCACCAAACAGTATTTTGTTACAGTCAAGGGTGAGCCGATTCATTTGACTACTCCATAAAAGAAATAAATCCACAAATAATGAAAGATATATGTGGCATTTGAAAAATGAAATCTATTTTAACAATCATATACACATTTAAATCTTATTAATCTCTAGACATAAAACTCTTAAGTTAGAATTTAAATAAATTACTTTCTACTTTGAGTATGAACTGCTACCTTCCCAGAGCTTAAAGTGCTTTTCTGTTAATTAGGCAAATATTTAAAATATAAAGGTTTTTATTTGCTACATTGAATTTTATGTAATTAAGGAAATAAAGTTTAATGTAGGAAAACCTGAATTAAAAGTGAAGTTGTAACTGTGATAGTAATAACAGATATTCAGCTATAATGTGAAAAACATTCTCCTGACTAAATTCTTAACACAGATTTTAAAATAATTTTCATTAGAGTACATTGTACATGGAATTCTTTGAAAACATTTTAACATTAATATCAAAAGTTTGCTTGATTGGTTTTTTATCTTTCCTGTTCTCAAGATGCAGGTTAATGTCTCTCAGAGATTTGTTTCTTTCTTACTAAGAAGGTGGTGCCAGCTAGTAGAAAAAATTCTGGATTTGGAAGATGCAGACTTTAATACTGGTGTTGTATTCTCTAGTACTGTTTGCCTCACAGTGGTAAACATTGTAATAGTTATTCTGTATCCATTACGGCAGAATACTGTGATGACAGAAGTGAGAAAGAGCAGCATAGCAAAGTGTTGCCGTTTTTTATTCCCCCCCCCCCCAGCACTGTGATAGGTTTGCACCCCTCTGCCAATTTCACATTTTGACCAGAAGGCAGACACCTGGCAGGGACTTTGGATAAAGTCTAAAAGCAGATAATAGAGTTTTTTGTTCTCTAGGGTGAAGTAACTACTATTGGGATCAAACTTTCAACCTCAGAGCCATAAGATTTAGTCAAATGACCTATGAAAGAGTTAAAATAAGAGTCACCTAGAGAACAAGAAAGAGAAGCTGTTTCCAGGCCAAAGGAGATTTCTTCTCCCTCCTTCATTTTAGTGAGCTAAGGACTCCTTAGAGACTTAATCCATTTCTTCTTTTTTTTTTTTTTTTCAAGAGAATGCAGTAGTTCATATCAAATATTTATTTTTTTTAGGTCACTGCCACTTTTGCACATTGTACACTGATTTACTGCTTCAGTGCACTAAAATGCAACTCAGTAGCTTGAAAAGTTAATGCATTTTCATCAAATTCTTAAGAGGTATCTATATCTCTTGAGAAAAAATGGCCTTACATAATGCATTGGATGTGGCCATCATTAAAGATTAAGGAAAACTAGACACAAGCCAGATGCCCTGAAGAACTGCAGATACTCTTTGTTGTGAGGCAGCAGTAGATCAGCCCCGGAAAGTTTTCTTTCTTTCTTTTTTTTTTCTTTCTGGTAAATTCATTTCACCATGTATAAGTCTTTGTAATGTTGCAATCATTGTATCACGTATTTCTAGAACCCTCTAAGTAGGTCAAAGAAGTGCTTGTTTTTACTTACTTACAATTCCATGCAAGAAATTCAGCTCTGGAGGCAGACGAACCTATATTTAAAAAAAAAAATAAAAGTCTCAAACTTTGTCATGTCTTAATTATGCGATAGTGGGAGAGATTTTAACTGCTTTGACCTTCAGTTCCCACAGAGTTTTGGAGAGATGTTGTTTAAATAATGTATGTAAATTGCTGGATATACTATCTGTCATACAGCAAGTGATCAATAACTGGAACTTGAGTGTCTGCTTTCTGGTTCATATAGAGGAGTTGGAGATCATACTTCAAAATTTTCCTCCATGTCAACAGGAGTTCTTCAGTTTCACAGCTGCCAATTATTAATTTGTATAGTCGACCTCTCTAGTTCTCTAAAACAAGCAAAAATGTCTAAGGCAGTTTCATTTATTACAAGGAGTGCTTACCCTTCTCTGGATTCTTACCAGTTATGGTGAAATAAACTATGGTTGCCATTTCCACATATGTAATCATTTTCTCACGAGATCAGTGTTGACTGAGTTAGGGGGTACTTGAGAGATCTCGTAGACATTTATTGCTCCTCCACGGACAGTGATTGCTCCAGAATAGGTGGGTTCACTAGGAAACTTGGCTATGGGCTGGCTGCTGGGACCTGCTGTCGCTGCTCTTACAAAAGAGATAGGACTGGGCATCATCCTCAGGGTGAGTGAAGAGAGAATTCCTTGCAGTTGACTGGGACCTTGGCCTGTGATCTTGTTAGTGTTCCATTAGGTCATCCATCTTCAAGAACTTCTCACACAAATCCAGATCTAAGTAGAGAGGTCAGGATCTCGGGGGGTTTGTATCTTTGTTTTCTCTGTTGTTCTTCATATGAGGTGGGCTGCTGTGGGATTTATATTTTCTGTAATAATCAGAAGAGTGTTGAATATACCATGGACTGCTAGGAGAACAAACAGGTTTGTCCTGGAGAGGGTGAAGCTGGAATGCTCTTTGGAGTCAAGGATTCTGAAGCTTCATCTGACATACTTTGGACATGTTGCAAGGAGGGACTGGTCCTTGGAGAGGGACACCATGTTTGGGAGAGTGGAGGGGCGGTGCAGGAGAGGAAGACCCTCAATGAGATGGATCAATTCTGTAAGTGGAGTGGTGGGAATGAATGTGTTTGAGACAGCGAGGCAGGCACAGGATAGAATGGTGTTTAGAGCTGTTGTACATAGGGTCGCTATGAGTCGCAAGTGACTGGATGGCACATAACAACAACAAGTGAAAAACAAACATCCCTTCTCTCTGAAACAACTTTGAATGTATGAAGCATAGGCTATGGTTTTATGCTTTCTAGAGTCTGGGAACTACCATGTGTACTAATGTAAAGACTTGTAGGGGTGCTTGTCAAAAACCTATAAAGACTTCTACTAATGAAAAAAGGTCTGATGAGTGGTCAGTGGGAAGAGAGAGAAGAGAGTTGGAGTAAGAATAAGAAATGATAATCAAAATTTTTATTTTGTTGTAGAGAAAAAAATCTACAATGGTGAATACTGTCACCATTTCCATGTCATTTCAGCCCTGTGCTATTTCCACTGTGCTGATTGTGTTTAAGGTCTAAAAAAGGAAAAAATTAATATACAGTGCTCAGCTTACTTAACATCATGAGAAGTAACTGTCCTACATTAATAAAATATGATTATTCATGCTTTCAGTAAATTGTAGGGTAAAAATTAAGAGAAATACTTGAGTTAGGGAACAAGAATTTAAGAATAAAAGGTCAGTAATTTGGAACACGGTTCTGACTTTACTCCTGTTACACTACCTTAGATAAGTCAATTAGCAAACCATTTATTAAGGTATTTGCATACACATTACTTTATGTATTATGATATACTTTAATGATTATTATGTGCATTGGCAAATGCCAGGTTTTGTAAGGAAAACAATGAACAAAATCAACACAGTCAATATTCTCATGAAACACATTAAGTCTAGTTTATTTACACCTAATGAATCATGTTTACTTGCAGTTGGCAGTTTACTTACTAACACAGTAATTCTCTATTAATTTTGGGGTCTCAATAGTCCTAATAGTTTTAAGAATTACTGAGAGTTTCTCAGAACTTTTGGTGTGAGTTTTGTGTGTGTATGTGTGTGACTTATCTCTATCAAATTTAATATAATAAATTGAGACGAAGAAACTTTAAAATGCAGACATATGCAAGCATGCATTCCATTCACTGACAAAATGATTATGTTGGAACACATTATCTCGGGGAAATTCCATTGAATCCTCAACAAAATGTGAGAATCATACAGGCAATAAACACCTAATTATTATAAAAATAGTTTTACTACACAGACGACCTAACGTTATTGGGAATGTTCCCAGGGATCTCCAGAAAACACTAAGAACCACTGCCCCGAAGTATTACTATTTAAACTACTTCAACTGAACATTTTTTTTCTTCTAACATTACATTCTTGCCTCAGAAAGACCTAGAGCTTTGCTTTCAATGAGATATCAAATGTGATCATTTTAAACATTACATATTCATATAAGAATACATAATTCATTGTTGCCAAGAGCAGAACTATAAATATTGTATCATGATCATCAGTTGCAAGCACATCAGCTATCTAAAGGCTGAACATTTTCAGTTCTAGAACAGAAATGGAATCCTGTGGACTTGAGGAATTTGTAGATTATCCTCAGAGAATTCTTGAGGTTACTGTGGCATGTCATCAAGTCAATTCTGACTCATAGTGACCCTGGAAGACAGAGTAGCACTTCTCGAAAGGATTTCCTAAGCTGCATCTTCACAGGATCACATCTTCACAGGGTCATTTCTCTTGTGATGTGACCAGTGAATTCAAACTGCAGTTAGCAGCCAAGCTCTTTAATCATTGTTCCAAGACTCCTTACAAGCAGTCTGCCTTCCTCTGTCATAAAGAAGTGTTGGTGGCTTAGTGGGGAAGGAGTTGCCAACCTAAAGACATTTGGTTTGAATCTGCTGGGTGCTCTGAAGGAGAAAGATGAGCCTGTTCTTCCCTGGTGATTTATTGTCTCTGAAAACCCACTGGATAGTCAGGTATAAGCTGGTTCCTAATTGACAACATATAACAATATGTGAGACAAAGTCTTACCATTTTGCTTCTAAGGAGTATTCTGGTGGTTTATACCTCTTCCACAATGGAATTTTTTTCATTCTTCTGGCAATCCAAAATCCTTCACCAACACCAAAATTTACAAGCATAGATTATTCTTTGATTTTCCTTATTTATGGTGCACCTTTATGTGCATATTGTTGTTTTCGTTAGATGCAGTGAAGTGGAGTTCAA